AAGAGAAAGAAAGAAAGAAAGAAAGAAAGAAAACATCTGTAAACCTATAAAGGGATTTGTAGGTATTCAATGGATGAAGAAATTCTGTGTTTTCTTGTTTGGATATTTTTTTAAATGAACATCTATATCTGCGGGCCAGTTAAAGTAATAATCTCTTGGTGTAGCATAGAGATGGAGCATAAGAAAACATGTTTTATCCAGAGAATGTTTTGACGTTCTCCATACCTAATCCTAGATTTGTAGTCAAAGAATGTTTAGTGTAAATATTCTTCACTGAAATATAAGTCATCCTATTAGATAATTAGCTTTACATCGTGACAGTAATTCCACAGGGCAAGATCCTTACTGAAGGAGACACAGAAATGAAGACATTATCACTGCAACATAGCAGATTTGCATGCTAGAATTTCGTAAGCTGTAATGCATGTTTTATGCTAGAAAAGACTCAAGTATAGGACCAAAAGGAAGCAAAATTTTTCTTTTTACCTAGCTTTCTTTTTGTTTTATAATGAAAAAGAAAAAATGTATGAAGAATAAATTGTCTCAAAAAGTCCTGCATTTTACAACTACTAGCTCACTATGTTTTACATAATTTATTTAATTTTTTCTTCAAAAATAAGATATTCTGGAGAAATTCCTTATGTTTTAAAGGAATCTCAGTTTAGAGATAAAAGTTATAGACTTTTCAAAGAACTAGAATTTTTATTACATGTTGAATCTGTAATAATCAAACCACTAGATCTTTTTCCTATAAACTAATGTTAAGCCAGAGTTCTCCATTTGTTGTCTGTATTTTTTGCAGGGCTTTAATATTTATTCAGGCTAAATTTTTATCTTTCTGTCTTTAGGGTATTATTCTGCAGAGTTGAGATATAATTTTGAATCTTAACTCTGTCAGCTCTGACTTAGATATCCTCCCTTACCCTTTATTTTGAATCTATGAATAAAATAATTCTCAAAAGTATCACATCTTAAATGATAACTGACTGCCACTAACATGAGTTATTATCATGTATGTGGTGTGATCAACAATGTTTAAATTTAAAAAAATATTTCAGAAAAGATACATTGACATTAATTGCTCCTCAAAATACTTCCCCAAACTTCAAACACAGTTATCCCATAATTCTTGCCATTTCTGAAGCACTTATGGAAGTTCTTTTTCATCCTGGCTACCTCAATGTCCTGAATCAATTAAAAATGTTTACCTCTCATGACAGTTTGAAGAGACAGAAGTTGCATGGTGCCAGATCTGGAGAGAAGACACTGTAATGACTTTACAAGATAGTTTTTCAATTAGATAACACTAGGCAGCAGCCATATATATATTTGATATTTTAACTGAACTGCACTTTACTTCTTTCTACAGACATGACTTGTTTCCAGGCCAGTAATGGTCTACAGAACATTGTACTAAGTCAAAGCTAAAAGATGACCAGTAGGGTATCCACTGCCAAACTCATGCTGAGCTGGACAGGGAAGCACCTTCTTGGCAGGAGAGGTCTGGGCAGGAAGAAGAAATTGCAGAGTTTCTACCTACTCCAAAAGAAACCCAACGAAGTTGTTTATACACAAAGGATTTTAAGCAAACGTGCTGAGAAACATTAATATGTTAAGATAGGTGGACAGATTTAGTTCACTATCATAGCAGGAATGCTTTACTCCATTTGCAGCACACCCATGCATTCTCTGGTGCTAATACAACAGGTATATTTTTACCTTCACAGCACTGACAACTAAAGAGCGCACAACATATGATACTTTGATCTTTAGGTGGGTAATCATGGAAGTTCCAAGATCACATTCACTAGATTATACTGAGTATTCATCTATAAAGTATTTTTCCTGAAAATAATGATTAAAAGAGAGTTCTAGAAACAGGGAGATGATGTTGGGACCAACAGAAGACATAGTACAAAGGCTGCAGAGGTAAGACTGACTTTCAATGGATTTTCAGGTAAAGGACATCATTCTCAGCCACTTTCTCCTCCCAGGACAAGGATCATAGGAGACTGTAATTTCAGGCCAGGTGACTTGGTCAGGTAACTCATTCATACTCTGTAACAAAACTCCACTGAGGCTGAAGGACTAAAATTCTGACCTATGTAAAAAAGGGCTGCAAATACACAAAAGGTCTCATGCAAAGTCTGTTAGGACAGAGAATGTTAGTGAAAATGGGTTCCCCCACACCGCACACAGACACATAAGCATCCAGTTGGGCCCTGGGTGGAATGGCTGGCATGGGCTTGCTCCAGAGGAGCCTGACTCAGAAGCGTCTAACTGTGGTATCCCCATGCTGAGGAGCACTAGGGTTATTGAAATCAAGAAGGTGTTCAAGAGAAACAGGTCCAGGAGGGTCAAGTCATGCTTGATGTTTTTGTTTGTTTGGGGTTTTTTTTGACCCACCAAGACTTAACATGAATGAAGGGCTGCAGAACAGTCAGTCTTTGCGAGATGCACTCTTCTGTTGTCATCAGCTGAAGTCTCTGTGAGTCTAACAGGTTAGTGACATCCAGCATGATCTCATTCATTACCTAGTGCCGCTGATTGTTCTGAGAAGCTGGAATATTAGATGCTTTGCACAATGATGTCACTTCTAAGCCACTGCTTCAATCCAATCCCTGGCCTTCCTTTTCTGCTCTGTAGTCCAGAAACACTTCTTTAAATGCCATAAAATCTTTAAATGTGGCAGGATGTTGAAGATGTCATAGCCAGACATGGTGATGCACACCTGTAATACTAGCAATAAGGAGGCTGAAGCAGAAGGATCGTCATGAATTTGAGGCCAGACTGGACTGTATAGTGAGTTCGAGGCCAGGCTGAACTACATAGCAAGACCTTGACTCAAACAAAATAAAACAAAACAAAAGATGTCACCAGCCACTTCATCTTTGTGGTGTTCTAAGGTAGTTGTGAAAGCTGCCATACATATATTTTTAATCACATCTCATGAAGACCTGAAAGAGGACTTCTATAACTGCATTAGAAAGTGGCAAGAAGGATAGGATAACTGTGATTGAAGTCGGGGTGAGTATTTTGAGGGAATATTAATGGTAATGTATCTTTCACTGTAGTAAAGTTTTAAATGTCAATATTTACTGTATATTTTGATCATCCCTTATACATGAATTGAATACACTGAAAACTATCTTAAGTCATATGCCCAGCTATCAGTGGCCACTTCTGAGAGAAGAAGGTATCTGAGATGGATGGAGTGTAGGGAATGTGGAGTATTGAACAGAGATTTTAACTGTATTTATGATGATTTGATTTTTTTATAAGAAAAAAATTATTTGAGTATTATTTTTATAATAAAAAGTAATTTTAAAGAAATAAATATAGTCTCCAGATTCCCTTACCTGCCCACAAAATTCAAAGTTTTTTCAAAAGACATAAAATTGATGAAAATAAAAAAAATCACTGAATTCATTCCAAAGAAAAAAAGCAGTCATATATTTTGAGAATACCTTTTTCTTTTTACTGTTTTTAGTATATTCATATTCTTAATGTGTACCAGAATTATAACTTATTATACTATATTAGAAACAAACATGGATACACACAAAGAACCAAAGGCTAACCCAATTTCCTTTGTACCTTTAGTTACTGTCTATGATATCCCCCTGACTCATTGTGTTGAAGGCCTGGTTGCCAATTTATGGGCCTTGTGGAACTGACTGGATCATGAGGGCTCTAATTCTGTCAGTGGATTAATCCATAGATGTGAACATAATTTGATAGTATGATATGGAAACATATGGAAATAGGAGGTAGGCCTAGTGGAATGCAGTGGATACTGGGGTCATAATCTTGGGAACAATAGCTGCTCCCCAGCTCCATCATTTCTGGCTTTTCCCCATCTCTCTGACTCCTGGCTGCCATGAAATGAGCAACTCCCTCATGCCCTTCTGGCAAGATGTTCTGGCTCATCATAGACCCACAGTATTAGAACCATCTGACCATGGACTAAAACTTCTGAAGCCATAAGCCAAAATAAATCTTT